TGAGAGTACATGAATCCAGGTCCGACCCAATTCACGTCTAATGTGCAGTGCTACATGGTTCGGTATTGTGGCCCCGTCTATTCTTGGTCTTCATAAACGATCTATAGTAAGTCAAATTTCGTCCAACTGTTTACACTACGCCGATGATATCAAAGTTTGGCGAGTGATCAGAACTCCAGCAGACGGCATCCAGCTTCAAATCGACCTTGACAAGATTTTTGGCGGACTAGGATTGAGCGAACGGATGGTTCGCTCGTTAAGGGCTGAGATTTAAATAGAACGAGTAAGTGATGGTTACACAAAATGTCGGATAGCTAATGCACTTAGCGGTCGATAGCTGTGGTTAAAGCCTCATACATCTCTGAGTTGGTTTCCGTTTGAGGCAAAACTACTGCTTTGTGGTCTAAGTTTCTGAAAATTCCTCGATTCCGCTTCCGCGGAAACAGTGCAAAAGCCGCCATGTTGAAATTACGGGTGATCCGCACAAGTTAACTCCATGAGATGGAATGCACTAAATAGAGGTGATGAAGCTGGAACAAATGAATGTAAGCACACGTTTGTGTGATGGGAGGTTTGTCGGTAAATCCGATTAGAGTACGAGCCCGGATTTTTCACGTCCGCACGCTGAGGAGACGAACACGCGAGGATTGATCGCAGGCTTGACTGTTACGTTTCACTAACAGGATGTACGCACACGAGGCAATCGAATGGCTCAATTAGATCGTTGGTTAACATGTCTTACAGGGCTGCTGAGACAGCTTAACGTTTTGCAAGTGGAATTGATTGACGTTGACTAATGGGAACCAGCTTCCCATCCTGTTTTAACTGGAGGCGATGAACATCGCATGATATACGTCTGATAGAAGGTTGAAAAGCTTCCGATTGCGATCTTGCCAGTATGGTACTTCAATGGAAGAAGCAGTCACACGATCAAATTATGGCACTACTTTTAACGCAACCATTGCGATATTCCCAAACAGATGCCGCCTATTAGCTGATGCAAAGTATACGCAACATTCGTGGATGCCAGGTCCATCCAGATGGGTATGACAAAATACAAGCATAGTTAACTTATTGCCGCTATGCAATGAACAGTGATTTTATACGGGATAAGAAGCATTGCTTTGCATGGGTGGTCTGGTGGGTTAACGAAAGATGTTAATGAAAAAATGCAGCCAGTAGTTTTACTGACAGAAAGAATGGAGTTATTGTACGGAATGCAATAGCCATACACTCCAAGTGTTTCACTAACTTCAATAGGCGAAAAAATAAATTTACTATATTTCCCGGGAGTAAGATGGAGAGTAGTCTCGAATTATAAATGGCAAGTGGCAGAGTGCATCATCCAACCGAGTTTTAAAGATGGCTAGCATGGGGGCAGAAACAACCGATTCGGAGAGAGCATTCCATGGTTAGTCTGCGAGAGGAACGCAAGCCGTGATTTCAGAGCAAACAGTTGCTTTCTATTTATTCATCATCAGGCTCAATACAGGAATAAACGGTAAAAAGCTGACCAATCACTTATGGGTACAATGAACAATGAACAATGATTTATCACGGGATAAAAGCAAATGCTTGACACGTCCCGTAGCGGTGAATATGATGCAATTAAGAGATGTCTGGGTCATCTATCGAACGTCTGCCTAAATGAATACTTTGATAATTATCATCACTGTAAAGTGAAAAAGTATCGCGCGCAAACGTTCAGAAAGACACTGGGGTGCAGTGATAGTTGAGGTAAGGAATGAGAAAAGTAAAATATGGTAGGTGGCAGGATCAGTGCGGTTACCTCCTTTATGGATAGGAGTGATGACTCCTTGCTTCCATACTGGTGGAATAAGGTTTTCCTCTAGACATCGCTGATAGAAAACAGCCAATGATTCTGCTAGATCACTAGCTACCGCCTGTAGAGCCTTTGGTCGGATGTTATCAGCTCCGGGAGAACGATGGATACGCAAGGATAACAACTTCTTCAACACTGCTACCATAGTGAAGGTGATGTTTTCTAAACCAGATGGTGGAGTATTAGAAATGAGGAGAATGTTTGGGCTCGTTACCTGTTGGAAAGTTTGGGAGTAATGAAGCCGTAGGAGATCAGCTGCTTCCATTGCTGATCGTGTGCACCCATCAGCCGTGACCATCGCTGGAACCCCTCGCTTTACCTTTCGAAGGCCGTTAACGTGCCTGGACAGGAGTTTGCGGTTAGTGCAGCATCGCTTCATTAACTTCTGCTGATGCGTGACCTTGTTTTCGCGGATCAGTTTCACACAGAAGTTGCGATGTGTCACGTATGCAGTCCAGGTTTCGGCATTCGGGCAGTCCTGGTGATTTCGTCATGCCAAATCCCTCCGGGACGTACATTTACGTGTTCTGCTCCTCAGAAACTTTCGAATCGAGTTTATTGATGTGTCTGGCGATCATGTGATTGATGGCACGTGGGATTGCTGGGTTAGGTCCGACTCTTCGCGCTTGGATGATGGCAATGGGAGCTGTACCGCTTGGACGTGTTTCTTCTGAATGCATATGTTCGGATTTGTTAATCTTATGCATATCGATTCTGCGAAAGTAAGCAGTCACGCACTCAGCTAATGGTTCTACTGGAAAAGAAATGCCAACGGCTCTCCAGAAGGCTGTACTGTTCTGCTAATTGCAAGGAGTGACTCGCAGATTGATGTTATTGCTGAGTTACAATCAACTATGCGATTATCGTCGCCTCGTACTCGGTCATACCGTCCGCTGAATGTTCCCGAAAGTTTCAGCCTCCATCGTATGGGAGAGTGCGCATTCCAATAACGTATTTGGAAGCCCGAGGTTGAGGCTGCTAAAGTTCAGTGAGGTCGGACTTCAGCCACGGTCGCGAGGCTTGCATTGCGTACTCGACATGGAGGCGAACATATGCATTAAGCATGTCTAAAAATAGAAGTGTACATTTATTCGAACGACTATCGTAACAGGCCAACTTGTTGCTTACCAGTTTTCGATGCTTTTTCATATTGTCCGGAACATTCCAAGTTGTCCTGAACCAGTAAGCCGAGATCGCGTTCGATGGACGATCGCTGAAGTACTTGCATTCCCAGCCTGCAGAAAGGGGCACTCAGGTGTCGTATGGAGAGTATCTCGTATGTGCTCACCTTAAAATGTAGCAGCTTTTGGGTTGACCACTGATGTATCATATCTAGGTCACACGGAAGTAAATTCCTATCGGCATCCGCCTGAATTCTGCGCTCTATCTTGATCTGGTCAGCAAAACAGTAGAAAATTCGAAGCGATTGTCCGTGCAAGGTCATCGATGAATACCAAAAACATTCGTGTCCCTAGAACTGGGGCAAACCAGACTCGACTGGTATGGGTTCAGATAAGAAACTCCCGACTCCGACCACTAGTTGCGTTGCAGGAGAAAGTTGATGATCCACCTCAAGAGGGTCCCCAATCCCGTACTATTGGAGCAATTAATGTATAATCCGATGGTTTAAACGATCGAATGCCTTCGACAAATCTAAGTAGATCACATCAATTGCACTCCAGTGTCAGCTGACTCAGTCCAATCGTGTGATTAATAAATTCGTTGTGCACGATCGCTCCCAAGGAAGGCCGTGTTGTTTAGGAGTAATAGTGTTACAATTTTCTACCTAACACACCAACGCATCGGCAATGATGGATTCCATTAACTTGGACAGCACGGGGCGAAGCGATCATGGGCAGTAGTTTGGTGGCTCAGTCTTGCTTCCGCCTTTGTGAATCGGAGTTATTATTCCTAGCTTCCACATCGCACGGAACTTGTTCTGGTCTAAGCATCGCTGGAACTACTGGGTCAAAGGTCCCGCCAGTTGTCTTGCTGATGCTCCCAGTACCTCTGGGCGAATGGTGTAGACTCCCGGAGAGCTGTGGTTGTGCAAAAATGTCAGCTTCTGCAATACAGTTTCGGCAGTAAGAGAGATGTGGGCGATTCATGGAGGCTGGAAAACAAAAGCTAGAGGATCGCCTGACGGTGAAACCCTCGGAAATGTGGGAGCATATTACGTTCGCAACGCGTTTGCTTCTTCTATGCCTGTACTAATTTGACCATCAATCATCCGGTGTGGAGGACTTCCATGCCTCACCTTACGACGTCCATTGACATACTTCTACAGCAGTTTGTCGTTGGCCTAGAAAGTTTTCGCCACGTTATGCTAACATGCAGCTTCGTCATCTCTGAGCGGTTAAGTGCATTGTTTACGCCGGGTTACATAGTTGTCCCGATTATCCAGCGTTGGCGATGATCTGTACTCTCGCCAGGTTGCGTTGCGTATAATCATCCAGCAGGAATAAGTAGTCGGCTGCAAGGTGTAACGTTCATATAAAATGAACGAGACAATAGTAACGGGCGTATCACAACAGCGAGTGCAAAATATCGTGCAGTTAACTTGGCTGAAAAGTAAACTTTCTGTTCGCTTTGAGCAAGGAGGTATCACTTTATTTGATCAAAGAACATACACGAAAACTACGCAATGACACGGTTGCTCGTGAACGATAATGGTTTCACTCCATCTCCTGCAACTGACTGGAATATCTCGTTCCTCGGTGTATTATGTGTGCTTCCGAATCATAATTTATCACCGAAGGGTCACAACCATCCATTGATGTTCCTTCTCTCTTCTTAAGTGGCTCCCTCAAATACATGACTGCATCTGTGAATCTTTCGTGACAGGTGCTTTCTGTCCATCATTCTATAAAACGATAGCAATTCCGCCCCAAGCGCAGGATCCGCATCGCAAGGGGACAATGGGACTTCCGTGATTGACTGCATCTACTTATGGGATGCTGAGTTCACACATTGTGTAAATTCTTGTTTAGACACACACCGCGCGAAGTGTCTTCCTAGCATATTTCCAAAAATTAACCCGGCGTATCTCATAGAAATTCCATAACTTCAACCTGCAAGTATCATGAGATTTAAAGTAAAATAGATAACATACTGATCATTATTTTTATTTCTATGTTTTGAACGTCTCTCACTTTAGTGACCAAAGTACAAACCCAAGGATTTGTCGATTTGGTGTTTAACGTGGCGACGAAGAACATGCGGCAGCTTGGTTACGTTGTCGGCAAACATGGGGCCGATGTCGCACGTGAGGATCTGTTGCTGGCGATTGGCGGGGATACCATATGAACTCGTTTTCGCACCCAACTCTCTTATTCACGTGACTTTTAACCGGTCAATTGCCTTAAAGTTGAATATTTCTTACTACTTGAAGTCGTATTAGTAACTTGTGTTATGTTCAATATTTCGTACTATCACAACTGGGGTCACAGGAGGTTCCAGTTGGATATCTCGTAGAGGCTCCTGATACCTTATCCAACTTACGTTCTACCCCTCATAAAATCAGAGGATGCATTTTCGTTCGTATCTAGTGCTAGAATACCCCAACAGGATCTGGTGGTGACGCAGCAATGACCGATGAAAATTCAGTAGGCCAGTGGTAACTGTGAACGTGGTGAAAATGGACAATGTATAAGGATTTCCCGTGAATAAAAATGCAGGTGATTACAAAACGCATGCGACGGTTACGATGAAAAAAGCAAATGCAATACATGCATATGTCATCGGCTTAAGCGCTTATCGTTTTAAAAGCGCAGCAGTATGACAATAGTGTGAACTGAGAATTGCTTGTTTGCACGTAAATCAATGTGGGGAACAGTTAAAGTTTTGCGGAGAAAAGAAAATAAAACTGTTCACTCATGTACCTCTCTCTAGTATCTAACAGATTTATAAGGTTCAGTATGGATACCTCATAAAAATATTCCGCACTAGCCCGTTTTATGTAACGAAATGCTGGGACATCATCATCATGATTAACAACAACGGCAATACAGCAGCCATTCGAACTGATGCTTCGATGCCATACAACCATGATGACCTATGAAATAAAGAATAAGAAGAGGGAGAGAAGGGGGACTTACCTGAAAACCTTAACGCCCTAAGCAAACATTCAGGGTCAAGGCGTCTACATCTTGGGTAGACAACATACCGTCACAAACAGCTGGCTATCGTGCAAAGATAAGGCGGCATCGGCGAGACAGCTTCCTTGCGGCTTTCACTGCTCCGCGTCATAATCAGCCATTACCCCGAAGCTAACTCAGAACCAAACACACTTTCAATAGGCAACACGATTAGGAGACGGCAGCAGACGCGCCACTGGAATCGGTTTCGAGCCTTGTCCTGTAAAGTCTCGAGCCAAGCACAAGGCGAGTCACGTGGACTCCAGCTCGGAAGGCGAGACGGACCAACGGCACCCAGTTTGGTTGTCATTGACTTCATTTCCCACTGCCAAGTCAACTTCTGTCCACCTCGCGCTTTGCGCCACCCTACACCTGGCAGACTAAACAAGGCCCTCCTAGGTAAGCGGTGACCAGGCGTACGTAGTACATGCCCAAGCTAACACAACTTATTCAGTGCTATCTTGTCCTAAAAACTAGCATGATTATCACTACATAGTACCCGCCTACGCACTTCCTCGTTGCGGACAAGCAGTTACCATCCGACATAATCAATGCTCCGCGGACGACGATGAGCAAAGACTTGAAGGTGTCTCAGATCCTCAGACCTAAGGCGCCAAGTTTAACTACCATACAGTAGCACGACCCTCACTGTGCCTTTGCATACACTGGCTTTCAGACTGAGAGAAACCCCCTTCTGTCGCCAGAGATACCGCAGGTTCAAGAAGACGATTCTGACTTTTGTATTGCGTGAACTGACTTCAGTTTCTTTGCGCCCATTTTGCTGATGCTGCTGAAAAGTTAAGTGAGTTGATCAAACAGTTCGATTTCCTCGTTATCAAGGGTCAATTGGTCATAAGTGGCTGGTGGTCCTGCAGCAACACTTTGCATTTTGAAGGTGCGAAGCGCATACCAAATAATGGGACCACTCTAGAAAGGCTATTCAGTGTTGATTGTGCCGCCGCAATATCGTTGAAAAGCAAGACGATGTCGTCCGCATAATCAATCTCAACTGACCTTTCACTAGGCAAACCTCAACGTCTAGATCATGAGATTCCGCAAGGAAACGCTCCATGATAGAATCCACGACGAAAGTGAACAAAAATGGGGAAATCAGGCAACTCTGGCGAACGTCACTTGTGGTCAGAAAGCTATCCGATAGGTCACTGTCGACTCTGACGCGGCCTGTATCGTTAGAGTATAGAGCACGAAGGATGTTCACATATTTCATGGGAACAGCTTTCCACGCTAGTATATTGAACAGAATGCATCAATCGACTGAAACGAATGCTTTGTTGAAATCAAGGAAAATAGTTATTGTAGGTCTTCGGTATGTGTGGCGCTGCTATAGCACCTACCGCAAAGTGCATATATGGTCTATACAGCCAAGTCCTGGTCGGAAACCTGTCTGTTCTTCCCTAATCCGAGATTCCTCTTCCACAATGAGGCGACGAACGATAATCGAGGCCAATAATTTTGTCACAACTGGCATTAGGCTAATACCCCTGTGGTTAAAAAAGTCTGTGCAACTGTGCTTTTTGTATATGGCTACTATAACCGATTCGCTCCAATTAGCCGGAACACTCTCTTACTTCCAGATATGTTCAAATAGGGAGGCCGGTGCTTTACAGAGGACCTCACCTCAATCCTTAAGTGGTGCAGGTGCAAGAGAATCCGGGCCAACGGCACGAAAATGACTGAGGGCTGTGATCGAGAATCGGACCTCGGCCTAGGATGAAGGCTCTAAACAACCGTCCATAGCTCGTCCTTCATCACCTGAGTAGGAAGAGGTCCGGGAGCAGGGGGCCAGCTGAACTGATCTTGAAAGTGTTCCGCCCAACGAGCCATACGGCGTTCCTTATTGGGTAGCAGTGCATCCGCGCTCTCTCTGATTGTCTCACTGATGTCTGGTTTACTGGGACCACTGGTGCAGATCAGCTGCAAGCGCTTGCGGTATTTGCTTTCTGCTCCTGCCTTCTCCATTTCTTGAGCCCGACTGGTCCACCAGGCTTCCTTGTCAGCGCCTAGACTCCGCTTTAATTCGCGTCTGATAGTCCGTATTGTCACACAGTGCTCAGAGTCAGCCCTGAGGTTTCTTCAGGATTCCAACAGGTTCACCGACCTCTCGGATATCCAGTGACTGATGCGGTGTCCAGTGATAGTACCACAAGCAGATGCTCCTGCGTCATGCATGACGGCCGAGATCCTATTCCACTGAAACTCAGTATCCTTAGAAGAAGACTGCGAAAGTTCGTCACGCAGTGCATCTTGATAGGCCTGTCGGACCGAGGGCTGGGACCACTTCTCAGTTGCCATTCGGAGGAGACGCTTAATGCTCCTCCCGGTAAAGTTCATGGAGAAACGACAGCTTACCAAGACATGAGCAGAGTTGACGCATATATTGCAGTACGAGCAGCAATCAAGGATGGAACCACTCTACCTCTAACTTATGGCAGTGTGGTCAATTTGGGTCCATCGCTGGCCAGCTACAGGGGAACGCCAAGTGGTACTTCGGCTCCACCTTTGACTAAAAGCAGTGCTACTAAGAAACAACTGGTGCTCCGCACACAGTTGCAACAGACGCTCGCCGTTGCCAGTCCATTCGGAGATTAGGTTATAGTTACCACCTAGCTGAGCCTCTGGAGAGTTCAGATGACCAAGTTGTGCGTTCATATCCCCTGTAAGTACTATAACATCAGAATTAGTAACACTGTGAAGTAGCGCGTTCAGTTCGTGATAGCATGTGTCCTTGACAACAGCTGAACTGCAGTCGGTGGGAGCAGAAGCGGAAATCACAAACCAGGAGCGTTTTGTACTACTTCGTGAATCAACCTTAGTTGATGTCGTCAAGCGAGTTGCGCATAAACGATTGTTTACCGGGATCCAATCAGCTAACGATGGCTCAGCCTTGGAGCTTGGAATAATACCTACACCAACTTGACCCGTGAGTGCTACATCGGCGTCGACGGATTCGTGCAACCAATAACGAGAGGACAAACCGTGCGCAGTTAATTCAACAGCATTATTGGGGTCACTGATCACAGTTTCGGACACACAACACAACTCAATACCCAATGTGTCCAAGGCGCGCGCGAATGCAGTCTATTGACCTGTTTGTCTTAGAGCACGAACGTTGGACGCAGGCAGGGAAAGGGGACAGCATGGACTTATAAGGGACTGTTGCCGATAGGCGTTCGATGGATGTTGTTGGAAGGTGACTGCTGATGGTTCTACTTCAGTGTTACTTCGGTTGCCGTCAATTAAGCTGAGAATTATAGAAGGAAGGTTAGTAATGAAAGTCGGGATGGGATTAGAAGGGACAGGTGTAAAAGAAAGAAGGAATGCGCCAGCAGTAGCATGTTTTCGCTTATTCGCCCTTCTGTATGCAGCAGATAAGGCGACCCTTGATAATCTGCGCGACGGCTGATGCAGAATGAAGTTTATTTTGAAGCAAATGTCATGGTTGTACGTGGGCTGAGCTACTGCTAGGGTGCCCAGACCTAGACAGGGGACGATTATTGTCCTCATACAAAGCATTTTGCTCAAAAGCCTGTCCGCAAGGCAGCGGGGAGGTGGCAATGATTTAGTTTTACAGAAATGGAAGCCATCCCATTTCAAACCTCTAACCTGGAAAACCAGGAGACTGAGTTCCTCTGATCTCTCACCATTGACCAAGGGTCCCGGAGACACCACCCAGTATCAATGGGTCAAGGAGGTACGCAAACCGTCGCACCACGTTAAGGTCCAGTCTCGTTGCTACCGAAAATGCTCGGAGCTAAGGACAATATCTGATGCAGAGAAAGAAACAACTGCATTAGGGTGACAGTTGCAGCGTAGGAAAATACGAAATGTAATTGCGTTGGCATTCTAGACGTCTGTATTGTTCACTCAGTTTCGAGCAGTTACCACTATTTGAGGTTGTGGTATAGTTTCAGCAAATAACAGCTTAGGCGATGGCGGTCACGGAATATTTGGTAAGCTATTATGAGATCACCTCGCATCTCACGACAGCGCCCTTAGAAAACTCCGTTACTTCAGAATTTGCTGGCAAGTGAGATTACATAGACCCTTAATATTCTTTGTTACCTTGCGTTTTGTTTTCGCCATGCCACATGGTCGCGCTTCAGCCAATGTTGCCAACTTTGGATAGCATATTCAACGCGAGAGCCCGCGTAAGTGTTGTGTGTCATAGCGAAGATTGATGAGTGAAAACTCCCGAAAGCCGTTCGCAGCTGACTGAAGTGTTATTTGTCTCTTTTCGCATGGCCCTGAGACTGATTATATATTCAGTATTGGCGAAATTATTAATTTTTTTCAATCAGCAAACTTTTCATATTTCCTCACATATCTCGTAAGAAGCAAATGATGTAATTGT